TATTAATCATCATCAATTATCAATCATCTTTATCGTGAATTTCATAATGAACGTGCTAGCTATAAAGTACTAATCGTGCTATAAATTTAAATTTATAGCTCTATTTTTTAGCGCCGTGCTATAAAGTACGCATCGTACTATCAAGTTAAATTAGCTGTATATTTTAGCAAGTACGTATGCTATAAAATTTTGATTGGTTCTCGGACTAAAAAAATTTAGGATACTGCCAAAATATTTATTTTTAATTAAATAAAATGGAATGGAAATCTTTATATTTTATATTTTGACTTCTGCTTTGTTTCTAAGCTTATTTGATTTAGAAATAAGACTGATATACACAAACGTTTCATAATTTGTTTTTAAATCCTTGAACAAAAGAAAGCAGATTGCACAATTTTTGCAAAAAAGTTTTGCATTTATTTTCGCACATGTGCCTTAAAAAAATTTCTAGAGGAAGAAATCCACGAACGAGTATTATGAAATCCGCAAATCAGTAGTGTTGGATCCTGGAACCAGAGAAGACTTACTTACTTATCTTCCTCTCCTTTATTACACTCGTTAAATATCGTATATTTATATGAGGAACAATAAATGCACTTCTAAAATTTGTAATTGAACATATTTCGCGCACTTTTTGTTTTTACACATTTTTTACAAAAATGTTTTTATTTTTTTGCAGATATTAAAGGGCTTTCCAAATGTATCGTATGTTAAAGATTTGTTTCATAATAAGAAAAAAGAGGGGGGTCCCTGGGAACCTCTCCCCACTGACTGTTTTGGGTAAACCAGACTTCAGCCTGAATAGGGTTAAGGTTTTTTGAGTTTTCAGGGCTTCATGAGTAGGGCTAAGGGCTAGGAAAAGTTAGGTAAACTAATGGCAGTTTTTCATATTCATGAAAAACTCATTTAATAAACGAAATTATTTAGTCTGGTTAGGGCGACGTACTGTACCATGATCGGGTCAGTACACGCTGTTATCTGGCAGGCCAGTACAAACTGGGCAGGTCCTGTTCGAATTCAAATACTACGAGGATAGAGTGCCTGGATGCTTTTGTAAGCATGGAGAGAAATTTACTTGTAAATAATCTGTAGTCAACGAGAACAGTGGGGCGGGTGCACAAGTCGCCTCATTTAGAACGTGTAGAGATATTTGTCTGTTAAAAAATGCCAACCAAGAAAACATGCTTTTAACGCATGTTTGAACGCGTGGAAAACCAAAACCACTGTTGAACCAGAATTCTATTTCAAAATCAAGCCAATACCTTACCTTACCTTACCTTACCTTACCTTACCTTACCTTACCGTACCTTACCTTACCTTACCTTACCTTACCTTACCTTACCTTACCTTACCTTACCTTACCTTACCTTACCTTACCTTACCTTACCTTACCTTACCTTACCTTACCTTACCTTACCTTACTACCAAAGTAGTTTATGTTCGTTTTTAACAGAAAAATGCAATTTCGTTGTGTAACAATGTTTTTATTTAATATAACTGACAATCAAATGATTCGTTTACATCACAAACTTTATAGATATTTATAGATTTAGATAGATTTTAATATGTTTTTAAATTACATAATTAAACATTTTTAATTGAAAACCACAAATTGTAAATGGACGAATTAAGTTTAAGATATTTATTTTAAAAAAGGATTAAAAGTTAAATCAATACTGATTGTTTCCTAATTCTTCAATACTGTATTAAATACAACTATAAATAAACCAAATTTGTAAATCTTTAAGTAATAAAAAGTCACATGTTTTATCGAAAACACGGAAACTAGATTGAAATTAAATTTGTTTTTATTGATAAAAACCCATGAGCCAAAATGTAATTAGAATTTAGAAAGTTTACTCTGCATGTCGATTAAAGGGACCGTTTACTTATTTGGTTAATTTCAGGGTTAACTAAACAGCCTATTCGCTCTTGATTGGTAATAGTCTTACTTTTCAAAGACAACCGTGGCCGAAGAAAAAGCCGATTTTTCGTTCAGAATTCGCGCGCAAAGGGACGGTCCCTCTCTATAGACACTAATTGATGTTTTTTTTCAGTATGTTGTGAATCAAAATAAATTTCGAATATAAAATTAAACCGTAGTATCTAACCGTTAGTTGTAAATGTCATTATTTTGTAACTTTTTTTTGTTTTTCAACTTTCTATTTCTAAAATAACACACTATAAGCAATAAGCAATACGCATTCAAAATTGGTATAGCCTGTGTAAAAAGCTGAATTGAACGCGGCATGAAAAATGAAAAGTTGTGCACATACACGAACAAAATCTACAAAATCTACGAACCAAAATACGAGTAATGATTAATTGATTATAGAAGAGACGTCGTCTTTGAATACACATTTTACATGTTTTAATACGAAAAACGTAAATTTCTTGCTAACTCAAATATTAAAAGTTTTCATATTTTACTACATAATAACGAACACATAATGACATTAAAAAATCATAAATTTAAATGTTATTGGGCTGCTGTTACTGAAAAAAACATCAATTAGTGTCAATAGAGAGGGATCGTCCCTTTCTGCTCAAATTCTGAACGAGAAATCGGCTTTTTCTCAGGCCACAGTTGTCTTTGAAAAGTAAGACTATTACCAATCAACAGCGAATAGGCTGTTTAGTTTACCCTGAAATTACCCAAATAAGTGAACGGTCCCTTTAAGGTTAAAAATAAAATATCTTGATGGCTAAAAAAGGTTGGGAAACGTTCTAGGCTGAAACTGTCCTAGGGATATTTTAGGGAAATAGATTGAATTTAAAACCTTTGAAAAAGTCTGAATACTTGCTTGTTATGTTATATGTAATACTGTTTTGATTGGTCTCAATACTGCTTGGTTCGACTGGGAAAGGAATTGAAATTTTGCCACAAATTCAAATTTTCTAATCCTTATATTTTTGCAACCTGACGGAGTTAACCTTTGATATTTAAAACTTAGACTATTTGATCTAAAACGATTCATAGTTGAAAATTGCAAAGGTCTTTTACATTGACTTGCAAAGATATAAAGATTATTAGAGTTTGTGACTCATGGTTCCTTTATTGATTTTAAAATCTGGTAAAACAGTAGGATTTATCCTGTAAAGAGTCAGCGATGTTCAACGTTAAAAACATAAATGGTGTAATTACAACGTAAAAATAAACTGCATCGAAAATGTAAATTTTATGTTTTTCTTTTTGGTGCTCATTACAATACTTATGATGGTTACTTAATTTTTTAATGTACATTGTGTAATAAATTAGTGAAAAAACCAATGGAAGGTGGGGGATGGGGATAGTTTGCTTTTTAGTGTACGGTGTAAAGTACGATTTACAGTGTACAGTACGATGTACAGTGTACAGTACGATGTACAGTGTACAGTACGATGTACAGTGTACAGTACGATGTACAGTGTACAGTGCGATGTACAGTGTACAGTACAATGTACAGTGATTACCTGAAAGCTTGAATATTCAGCTAGAAGTCTAGAGAACCTTGTTGACATACTATCCATGTTACAGTCAAGTCTGACAAATTAAAAAATATAGTAAGACTAGCCTTACAGGGAGCTTCACTTACATTTTCCAATTCAACTTATAATAGTGTGACAATCTTCTCTTTTTGTAAAATATAAAACAATTGCAAAAAAGTTTACGGATTTAATAGTTTTTATTTGCTCATTTTCAAAATTTAACAAAAATCAAAATCTTTGAAGACACATTTTTGTAATTTAATTCATCCATAAACCGTCCCAGCCATGGGGTCATGTGAGGTCCCACAAACAATTTGGGCCCGATCTGTTCAGCCTTTTGACTTTTTTTGGATACAAGCGGACAGACAAACAGACAGACAGACAGACAGACAAGCAAAGTATAAATATAGATTGGATATAATATGTAACTATTCATGTAAAAATAAGGACGGTACTTCAATAAAGAGACAAATAGTTAATGTAAACACCTCCGTAGAGCAGGTAAAACTTGTTTTTTTATTCATTTATTTCCTTAGCTAATATTTGTATTGAGAGGATGCCAAAAATGTATAAAGGATTTGAGACTTTTCCACCAGCTTAAATTTTCAAATCCTAATATCTTTGCAACCTGATATTCTATCCCAATATTCAATCATAAATTATTTGACCTTCAAATATTTCCGCTTTACTTAACGACATCGGATTACGAAGAAGGAAAGTAAAAAAAACTAAGTTTGTAGGAAAGACTCAATTTCTTTGTTGGTAATTCATATTGGCCTCTTGTAAAATTTGTGAAATAGATACACTCTTGTAGCAATTAATCCTATTGTAAAGATGGGAATATATTTTATTAAAAATTTAAAACATTAAATTATTTTCCTCCAAAAATCAGGTAAGAAAAGGTCATAAATTATCAACCTCAAAACTTCTCTGGTTTTCGTATTACATCCATGAGAACAGGAAACTTGTTTGGTTGCATTACAAATCTTCTCTAGTTTTCTTTTAAAATCCATGAGATTTTCTTATTACATCCATGAGAACAGGAAACTTGTTTGGCTGCATTACAAAAGTTCTCTAGTTTTCTTTTAACATCCATGAAAACAGGAAACTTGTTTGGTTGCATTACTAAACTTCTCTAGTTTTCTTATTACATCCATGAGAACAGGAAACTTGTTTGGTTGCACTACAAAACTTCTCTTCTTTTCTTTTAACATCCATGAGAACAGAAAACTTGTTTGGTTGCATTACAAAACTTCTCTAGTTTTCTTTTAACATCCATGAGAACAGAAAACTTGCTTGGCTGCATTACAAAACTTCTCTAGTTTTCTTTTTACATTAATGAGAACAGGAAACTTGTTTAGTTGCATTACAAAACTTCTCTATTACATCCATGAGAACAGGAAACTTGTTTGGTTATAATAGAAAACTTCTCTTTTTTCTTTTTACATCCATGAGAACAGGAAACTTGTTTGGTTGCATTACAAAACTTCTCTAGTTTTCTTTTTACATCCATGAGAACAGGAAACTTGATATCTGCCTCCCTTTATCCAGTAAACTAAATATATGTTATATATCCTTCATTAATATCTGCCTCCCTTTATCCAGTAAACTAAATATATGTTATATATCCTATATTAGTATCTGCCTCCCTTTATCCAGTAAACTAAATATATGCTATATATCCTTCATTAGTATCTGCCTCCCTTTATCCAGTAAACTAAATATATTGAATATATATATCCTTCATTATTCAACCACTTTAAATATTCAAGTACTTTAAAGCTCGCTAGAGCTCGCAACAAAATTAAATTTTAAAAGGCTTGAAGCTTCTCGGTAAAACACTGCGAACCAAAATTGCAGTGTTGAAAATAGTTATTTTGCTTTTAAAAGTTGAATTTAATTTCTTTAAAATTTGTTAACAAACCTTTTTTTTGCCTCTGGGTATTCTGACAAGGCTTCCCAAAGGTCATCTTTGCTATACAATCAAAACTTAAATTTAGATGTTTTCCTTTATTCTTATTATAAAAAGTAATGATCTTTAGGAAGAAATGCATAAATAATTTAAAATTGATAAAAAGTATAATTAAAGAGGAAGAAAATTGGTTTTATGTATTTAGGAAAAATTGATTCATTTATGTAATAAATATAATCATTTCTTAATAATTTATTGATTGGTTGATGAATTGATTTATTCATTGGTTAATAAATTTATTTATTTAATGGTTGACGATTGACTTATGAAATTATGTCTTCATTGATCGATTGATTGATTGATTGATTGATTGATTGATTGATTGATTGATTATCCCTAAGCGAGAAAAGATCTGAATAACCCACACTGCGAACATTTGCTGTTCTCCTGTTCCCAGTCTTGTTCCCAGGTATATTTAGTATACTAACCTGAATATTGATTAATCAATTAATTTACATTAATTTACATTAATTTACATTAGTTTACATTAATTTACATGAATTTACATGTATTTGCATGAATTTACATTAACTTACATTAATTTACATTAACTTACATTAATTTACATTAATTAAAATTAGTTAAAATCAATTTACGTTAATTTACATTAATTTACATTAATTTACATTAATTTACATTAATTTACATTAATTTACATTAATTTAAAGTTAAACTCAAAGGAACTGTCAGCGTAATTTCTAGTGATCCTTACATGAAAAGATGGCATTGCCCGATTCACAATAGAGCTTTTCACTAATCAGGCATGAATTATATATATTATATATAACAATTTGGAAGACAGATTATTTTTAATTGTGATTTTTCTACAGAAAAGTGACTTGCGCATTTCTAATGCAGGAAAACATTTAGGAACTAAACCCTTTTAAACCTATAAGAACGGCAATATCTTCCACATTATTTTCAGATAAAAGTTTAAAGGGTAACATTTCCATCTTTGCATAAAGGGTCATTTGAAACTATGCTTACAGTCCTTTTAAACTGATTTTGTTTTTACTCCCCCCCCATACTGCAGTACGTTTACCTCTCCAAAGACAGCACCATCTCCTAGTGTAACAAAGATCTGTTTCCCGTCGTCTGCCACCACGTCGAGCTTTCCCTGCTTGATGATGTACATCTCCTTCCCCACATCACCCTTCCGGCACACATAGTCACCAGGGGAGAACACCTATCCAATCAATCAATCAAAGTCTGTATTTTTATAAATCAATTTACAACTTGGTCAATTGATTTATCAATTAAAAATTTTTCAATTGATCAATCAATTTACCTCAAATTTAATAAATCGATAAACCACTCGATCAATCAATCAAAAAATCAGTTAATTTATTACTAAGTTCAATAAATCAATATTTGACCCAGTAAATTATTCATCGATCAGTTTTTACTCAGTTAACCAATTAGTTATTTTAAATCTTTAAGTGTTATGTCAATAAGTGTATAGTCTATATAAAAAAGATCTTCTCTCACATATATATAAATATATTTGTATATATATATATATATATATATATATATATTTGTATATATATTAGCTATAGCTGGCGAAACGGCTGGACCGAATGGGCTGACATTTTTTATAACAAGTTTCAAAATTACAAAACATTCAGGAATCAGGATTTAAAAATTTCTATATTACCTGAAGCCGAAGCTTGAGAACAAGATCAACAAGAAGCCCTTTCTCACAATCCTAATAAATTTTTCAAATAATACTTATTTATCAAGTATAGGGGTGTCTCAATAAACATGGGAATTCAGAAACGAGCTCGAAGTCATCTTTGTTGAGAAATATCGCTTTATTACCTAATTTCAATGGTCATAATAAAGATACGCCTGCTAGAGTTTATTTTATGTTAACGGTAAAAGGCTGATTTGCTGATCTGCAAAACGTTGTATAATGTTCTATAACATTTCTGCAAGATTAACAGTTCAGAGGAATAACTGTAATGTGTTTGAAAACAACATCTCTTTTTTTACTAACCAAAACATTAACAAACACATTATAAACTCTAGCACCCGAAACATCTATGGATTACAGCTTTCTCAGTAGGTATCACCAAACTAAATCGAAAAATCATTTTCAAAGACCATATCAAAATCGTCACTGAATTCCCATGTTTATTGAGACATCCTGTACCTAAATCATTTTTTAAAGAATACTTGCCTTTGATTTAAGGAAAAATTTTAATTTTATCATTCTTTTACGCATTAAAAAAATACAAATGCTTATTTTTGCAATAAAAATCCACACTATAGATGTTTAAGGAACAACATAATAAGAATACAAGAAAATGGGCGGGTAAGGTCAAACCATAAGCATGAACCCAGCCAACACATAAATTTAGGCTTAGTCTTAATATTAAACACAAAAATTTTAATAACGTAAATCCATAAAAATATTTGACCTGGAAGATTCGAACCTTCTTCAATGTGTTTAAGTGCACGTGTATAGCTATTTCAGATTATGAATATTGTATCTACTTTACACTGATATTTAATTTCTCAAAAATATAAAAAATGTTTTCCCGGAAAATACTCCTTGTTACTATACCTAGCGATTTCTATAAGTTGTATTTCTATAAGGTTTGACTTCGAAAAAAAAATATCTTTAACTTTCAAATAAAGGTTTCAAGGGTACAGTTGTGAATCTTTGCATCAGGAGTCACTTGATTTAACGCGTACATTCCCTTTAAAGATACGTAGTGTAAGAAACTGATCTGTCTTCTGTAGAATGAAACCAAATCTATTATAGTCTAATTTCAAATTAGAACTTAATTTAAGATTCTTTATCGATGAAGAATTTTGTCGAAAATTGAAAATTGTTTTGATCAAGAATAAATGAGATTATCGGCGTGGGAAGAATTTGGGAAATCAATTATTAAAGAGTAAAATAATCAATAAATCAATAAACTGTAAATAGATTTTCTTTGTTGTTTCATATTGAAAACTTTGTATAACAAAACAACCTTATAATAAGGCACGAAAAGCAGCCTTTGATATTTAAATCTATAAATTCTTTCCGATTAAATGATTTAAATTAAAAAGTGAAAGGTTTACAGCACCAGGTTCAAAAGATAAAGGGATACGAAAATTTGAGTTTGTGGCAAAAACATAATTTCTCAAATGTAAACAACACTATATAACAACTTACAATAAGAAAAATATTGAAATTGGAGTTATTTTCAAGTTTTTAAAGTATTCAAACTGGCATTAAAAAATGGATCCTTTACATGCATTTCATTTGCATCTCCATACTATGGTACTTGAAAACGATCTTTTTTTTTAAACGAAAAACGATCGTTTTGAAACGACTGTTTTTAAAATAAACGTTTGTTTAAATTGTTCTTAATAAACAATCGTTTTTCCTTTTTCTTTGTCGTTTTCAAAACGAAACGACTGTTTTTCAAAAAAGTGGAAAGGATCCAACCCTACTTGCAAGGTTTTTTCAAAGGGGAAAGAGGGGTCTGCAGTCTAGCTATAAAAAAAGTTTAATATTATCAAGTGAAAAGTGTCCCTAAATGTTGAAATTACTATAAAAAGTTTTGCACTGACATTGCTTTAAAGTTTTGACAATTTAATAAATATCCGAAAGCCAAGGTTCATGATCTCCTTATATGTTTAGTTTTTTTTTCACACAGTCAAACAAATATATATATATATATATATATATATATTGTTATATATATAACAATCAATTATTTAGTTATATTTAAATAATAAGTGAGCTTTTTTTCATAAACAAATTTTGAGTATGAAATTTTTAAAGCATATATATAATATATTTTTTTTAAATAATTATTTTGTAATACCTTCAGTTTATCTGGCAACATCTCCAGCACAGACTGTTCATCAAATGCTTGTTTGTTTGACCACAAATAATCAAACCATTTGATCACTCGGCCTTCCATTTCACTACCAACCTTAATAAGATCAAACAGTTTAATCGATTTCCATGTACAGTGGTACAGTGGTATCCAAAATGAACAAGGCTTCAATGGAACTTCACGATTAAACGGTTCATGTTCTCGTCTGCTTAGAATATAATATGTATTTACAGGTATTTATATTATATTATATTATATTTATATTTCAGAAAGCTGAATAAATTATATAAAGTCGTCTTTGAAGTCTCATACATTTTGGGGAGCTCTGTCTCTAGCTCCATAGAGGTTTTTTCTACTATTTAAGTGTACTGCATATTGTACATAATGTACTCTACCTTTCTGAAGTTCATGTACTGTTTAATGGCGTCCATCTTGGTCCGTATTTCCGCCTTCCCGGCATTCATATTCGTGATCATGGACCCGATATTACCAACAATGGTAGCAAATATGAGAACCCCGACCATGAAGTCTATCGTGACGAACACATACTCTGCATCCTGCACTGGCTGTGGAGTCTCTCCTGTTTAAAACAAAATCATATAAAACTAGCTTGGTTGCCCAGGGTAGACATAGTTAGTCCCACCGTTTACCCGCGCTTTGTCGTACATTGCGATTAAAGCTATTTTACCATATAAAATTGGACTCACTCAACTTAGAATCTCAATAAAGTTAAGAATATTCCAGTTGCTCTCCCGAGTTCCCCAATCAAAATTTTAGACAAGTCGGTCCAGGGGTTCCTGAGTTATGATCGGATTAACAAACAAGCAGACAGACACCCAAACAGAGATTACCACTTTATATATATAAATTGATCAAAACTTTAAAAATACTCCAACTCAATCTTCAGTATGTCAAACTGTTAACAAAACTGTAAACAAAAAGGCTGCAATGTTATATGAATATTTGATAAGGCCCCATGAAAAATCAATTTGTTCTTTTTGTGACGAATCAGCTTTAGAATTAAAAGCACAAAAAGCCCGCCTTGCACCAATGGTTCCCATTGGCTGTACACCAGATAACTTTCCTGTTCGGATCGATATGAGTTATTTTCAAATCAAAACAGATATTTTAATAACAGATTTCGTCTTGTTTTTATTAATTATCATATTATCTATTTCTTGATGTAAAACATCGTTCATATTTAAATCTTGTCTTTTCCTTCTTTGTTTTTAGATATAAAGTATAGATACAGTGATAACCTGAAAACAACGGAATAGAAAGACGACATTATAGCAATACTTACAGGGTTACCCTCAAAGGACGAGACGATTGTACGAAATTTTTACTGTGTGTTTTCTTAAATTCACGATTCCCTTGTTCGTTTCTTTGCTAAATCATTCAAAAAGCCATAATATTAATATATCTCAGACGAAAGACTTAATCTTTCTTTGGGATTTTAAGAGTTTCCGGTCATCTTTGCAGTCTCATCCTTTTTGGATAACCCTGTATGTGTATTTAATGCGGTTTCAAAGCCAAAAGTTTTATTAAACACTAATTAAATCATTAGAAAATTGAAATGGGCCTTGCACTGCTTACACACTGCACAGTGCACAATTTCTTTGACTCTTTATATATCAGAGTTTTCTGGTTATCAATTTATTTACCAATGGTGGTTAAGGTGAGCGTTGACCAGTAGAAGCTGTAAATATACTGGGATATGAGGTCAGGGTTACCCTTAATAAATATCCATACTATATTATTCACTAGTTTGGGAACCCAGCGTTGCCCAGGGTACTCAATACTCATGTTTACCTGCACTTTGTTGTAATTTACGGTTTTAGACATTTTTCCCTTTAAAAGTGGACCCACTCAACTTACGATCTCAAGCTAAGAACCAAGCTAATAACGTTCCCATGGCTCTCCTATGTTACCTCAATCAGAATGTTAGTTAAATAGGTCAAAGGGTTTCCTGAGTTATGATCCAACATATAAACACTCAGACAAACAGAGATTAATACTTTATATATATGATATATTTATATATTCATGGATAGTACTGTGAACCCAACCAAGGGTTCTCCATTTGTATATAGCACCGTATGGTTCATTACTCCAAAGAGAAATAAAGCCAAACAATCCAGTCCAAGAATAAAGCCAAACAATCTAAACCAAGGCCCAAGAGGATAATGAACCCTTAGTATGGGTGCAGCCAGAGTGTATGTAACAGGCTAGGCCAAGGAGTATGAAATAGATTTCATTAAATTTCATACTCCTTGGACTAGGTCCGCAACCCTTGAACCCTTTCTTATCTGGTAGAGATTAAGTTGGTTCCGTTTAAAGGGCGGAGCTAGGGGTGGATCCTTGCTAGAGAAAGAAGTATAATGGGAATTTCTAGAGCTGAGGTAGAAAGCAATTTTGTCGGCCATCATATGCCCCAGGACCAAGCCAATTCTCACAAAGTATTTGATCAGAAGAGTCGAACGGAAACATATTTGCCTCTGAGGCCGTTCCTTCCATAAACTACATTGGTCGACAACTTCACGTCTCCTATTTTGGTCGTGAAATGTACGGAGAAATAGTGTTTTGTTCAAACGCGTTCTTCCATGAGTTATCAGTGTCCGAGTATTGTCCGACCATAAACACATACATATGCGACCCCTATCGACGGAAAAAAAGGGAAAGCTTATTACGAATTTGAATTGAACTCGGCAAACTATCTTAAACATAGGAAATTGCACTTTGATTTAATTTCAAATTCATAATGGATCTCAAAAACAAAACACTGCAATCAATTTATGAAATGAAATCAGAGAGCTACTTTGATTAGTGCTGCCACCTTTTCTCAAAGTAATTCATGGCCACAGTACGGCTAATGATACAGATACCGTATGGCGTGAGAAACTCTGTCCGTCCATGAACAACTCACGGGAGACATCTAGTGGCCAAATTATCGTCATCCAAAGTACGTGAACTACACGTCCACTATCTATAGAAGGAACGGCCTCAGGTAAATGTCGTACGTATTTAGATCAACTTTAGTTGGTCCAACACTAATCGTTTGTATCTTTATAATGTAAATATATTGTGTGTGCAACCATGCTTCGTTGTTTCAATCAATCTTGGCTTTTTACTACTGAGTTCTTTTCAAGTCTATAGTAGAAAAGGTAAAAATATCAAATCTTTTAGGTTAAATATTCAGGCAATCTTTTTTCCCTCGTACGTCTTTGCACTATATTGATTATAAAAACATAAAGTATTCATGGACATAGCCTTTTTCATTAGGTATTTAATTTTCTAAGCACAGAAGATGCAGGATACCAGAATAATATCTAATCACCTGAAGAGTTAACTAAGTTCAAAACACGCTCAAATTGCCTGATTTTTACTTTTCGTTTTGCACTCCGTTTGAACACAATTGACGCCTTTACAAAGCATATGTATACTTTTATATCTGTTTTTAACTTTACCGAAGGGTCATGGTTTAAAGTTGTAAAGTTTCAAGACTATAAAACTCTAAATTCTGCAGTGTATCTTGGATTTTAATGGTAATTTGAATATCCGAATACTTTCCTCACAGGAACGATACAGTTAACAGTGACTTAATTTAAATATTCCATGCCCACATTTTTATGCATTTTTTTCTGTTTTTTAAAACTGATTATTGACATTTTTCTATTGCGGGTTTTATAACAAGCATTGACATTGAAAAGAAACAACAATATATTCCTCACTCTAACTAACATTTGTCGACAGTCGCTTTTTAGTTATTTATGTTTTACCTGATAAACCCATTCATCAGACTTAAATCCAATATAGAAGCTCATTGCGAAGAAGAAACAAGCATTCCAGTGGATAAGGATTAGGATCAGTAGAACAACCTGGATATTATATATATACAAAACTTATAATCAGGATGAGGATGAGAGGATAAGGATGAGAGGATAAGGATAAGAGGATGAGAATGAGAGGATGAGGATGAGGATGAGAGGATGAGGATGAGAGGATGAGGATGAGAGGATGAGGATGAGAGATTGAGGTTGAGAGGATGAGAATGAGAGGATGAGGATGAGAGGATGAGGATGAGAGGATGAGGATGAGAGGATGAGGATGAGAGGATGAGGATAAGAGGATGAAAGGATGAGGATGAGAGGATGAGGATAAGGATAACCTGCAGTATTCTGAAAGCGTTAGGGAAGTTTGTTCTTGTTTCTGTTTTATCGAAGAATTCCAGCATACGATCCACCCTGTTGAAAATAAACGAAATCAAACGATAAATTATAATTATCAAGAGAATCAAAAAGATAGAGGAAGAATCATAAATAAATTAACAATACATATAGAACACGAGAGGTTAATTTTTCAAGATTTAGAGGGGTTTTCGTTCACAATAACCCTAAGACAAAGGTCAAGAAAGTTACGCGCATGCTTTTCACGCTGCATTCGCGGAACTCCTTTGGTCTTATGCCTCAGGGTTATTGTGAACGAAAAAACCCTAAACCTTGAAAAGACGTCATCTAGTGTTCTATCTGTATTTCTCTTATTCTATGGCAAAAATTATCGATCTGCTCTAAATATAAAAAAGTATAAATTCATGAACCCAGGAAAAAACAGAAGAACTGAAAAAGGGTGGTAAAGCAGATTTGACTGAAAAGGGTCTGTTGGATATTCCAATAAATCAAAATCGTAGAAAATTGTTTATTTGGGTGATGGAATGGAATTTCCCGGAAATGGAACTCATTTCTTTTGAATCCCTTGTTTTGTTTGTGATTGACACATTTGTTCCTCTCAATCAAAGTTCCAAATGTCATTGTGCCTGTTCAGGGGGGGGGGGCTGAAAATTATAAAATGTACAACCTCAGTATCCTGTTTATTCTGAATATTATTAATTATACAACCTCAGTATCCTGTTTATTCTGAATATTATAAAATATACAACCTCTGTATCATGTTTATTCTGAATATTATAAAATGTACAACCTCAGTATCCTGTTTATTCTGAAAATGACTGGACAAGGTATGAACTCTGAGCACTCCCCCGGGAACCAGATGTACGCTAGATCTGTTGGCAAAATACTGAAAACCAATTATAATTATTAAAATTGTATGCTTTTAATTCTTTCAAGTTCAATTTCATTAGGAAATATGAAAGACACTTAAATTTCACAAGAAGGGAATCACTCATTTGTCCAGTTTTGTACTTTTAAGTCTTGTTCCAGCTTATTAAAAGTCGGCCCAGTACTTGAAATGAACCGGAGTTTACAAGATATTAGGTACTTTCCCAAAGGATTTTTCCCAGGTGACAACTTCCAATATGCGCAATTTCCCAAGCGGCAACTTCCGAAGTCTGTTCTAGACGCAGCGCTTGGCCCCCAGCCTGATCTAGCGGTGGCGCTCGGCCCCATAGCCCATCCTAGCCGCACAAAATCAAATTTATAATCCTTACAATTTAGCAACCGGATATTTTTTTGTTATTTGAAACTTAGATTATTCAATCTAACTTAATGAATAGTTTGAAATATCTAGGGTATTCGACATTGGGTAGCAAAGATACAAGGAATGGAAAATCAGAGTTTGTGGCAAAGATTCAATTCTTTTAAACAAGAACTTTTGGTTTTAAAGGATTTGAGTTTTTGCCACAAACTTTAATTTTCTAATCCCCATATCTTAACAACCCGATTCCGTAGATTTTTTATATTTCAAACTATTAATTCTGATAAAAGAAGTAGTGTATGTTTGAAACATCAAAGGTTTACACAATCAGGTGCAGGTACAGATTTCAGGATTAGAAAATTTTTGTTTGAAACAAAAACTCTATTCCTTTATTCATAATTTAAAAAAATATTCTAGACTCTGTCAAAAGATATAAATAGTAATATGTATCAATTGTTTAATGGTGTACAATTACATAGATGGGTATTACTGGGTATTATTATTACTGGGCTAATATAATGCGGTTTTATTTATAACATGCAGTATGTACATAGACATTTTTGTAAGTCACAATGTCGCAGTCACTGAGCTGAACTAAATTAAAAAACAACTTACGAAACCGTTTCAGACTTAATTGAAGAAAATTTTCAAAGTAAAATGGAAAGGAGTTGAGTCTTTGCCACACACTCTAAATTTTCTATTCCTATATTTTATTAATCCTATGTCTTAGACCTTAGATATTTTAACTATGAATTCTGTTAGATCTACTAGTCTGAGCTTGAAATAGCAAAGGTTTACACCTTCTGGTAATAAAGATATAGAGATTTGAAAACTTGAGTTTGAGGCTAACATGTGTGGGATGAAAAATATGAATAATATTCATTAACTAATAATAGTCATTCCCCTGATTCTGACCTGATAATGTTTAGAGGTAAATATCTACTTCTAATGTAATTTCTTCTTAAAAGATCCGGTTTCCGAACCAACAATCCCTGGTCCAGGTACCCTGGATGCAAAATGAATATATTTTAACAATTAAAGGGACTGTAAGCGTAATTTCAGGTGATCGACCTTCCATGCCAAGAATATACTGTGAAAGATATTGTCAAGAGTTAAAATTGGCAAGTTCTCCTAAAATGTTTTCCTGGAGTACTTAAAATTACGCTTACAATCCCTTTCAGCAATTTTTTGGAAATTATTTCTCTTCATTCTTCTTCAACAATTTTATCCTCAAAAGAAAAAGTTTCTCTTATTTCTAAAATCATGACCACAGCTTTGTGCCAAATCTCCGTTCTTTTAGTCCGGCCAAACAGCTGGACTAAATGGACTGATTTTTTGTGGTAGCCGGGGTTGTTTCAGGCTTAAATTTTTTTTTCCACAGGAAACGCCAGGCCCTTCAGCTAGTATGTATTAAAACTACAGATCATTAAGATTTAGACTTCTTTTAGATTTGCCAGTTTGGTTGCACATTTGCCATCAACCATTAAAGGGCAAAATAACGGAATCCAAGTGTGATTAAAAAATACAAAATTTTTTTTGCCGATTATTTTCCCCTGATAGACCATATCGAAATCATCCATTTAATCAGTAAATTTTTGTTTAAATCAGGATATAAAACTTATACAAATTTACAATTACAATTAAACCTTATAATTGAAATTAAAACTAAGTTTTTGCTATGATTATACTGATGGGCAATAGGTTGATAAGCATCAGCCTAAATGAACTGGGAAAATTTACGATAAAGAAACGGAGGTTTTTGAAAATTAACGGACAAGTCCGTTAACGCGAACGGCAAAAACCGTTTAATTTGAACACGTTAACAAACGGAAATAGCCGATTTCGAAGAAAAAAATAACGGTTGAAAAAAACGAGTATGTTTTTAAACTAAGCTGCGACTTTCGTTCTTTTTTTCTACTTAAAATTAATTGCATGAAACTTTCAGATAATAAAACAATATTTTTTATGTATTTTATTTGTTTTTTAAAATGTTGTCTTATTTGCTAAATTATAGAATTTTTGGTATTTTAATGTTTTCGAATGTTGTCTTTACATATTTTTCCAGCTATTTTTACATAAAATAATCGTTAACGAATCGCTAATTGCTGGCACGGTTAAAAATTTCAAAAATAGTTTCCGTAAACGTAGTTAAAATATTGAGATCATTAAGGAGATCGTTTAAAAATAACGAAACATACCGTTAACAATACGAACATTTTATATTTCGCTGAAAAACGAACGGCTGTATGAAAAAAAAGATTTTTTAAGTGTTTTAACTAACGGCTTGAAAAAGTTCAGAACGTTACAGTTGGCTTTATAAATGAACACTGCAAGGAAAAATTACTTTTATTTATTTTGGATACTTTCCTGAAACTTAATATTGGAGTTTGTTATAAAAGAAGAAATAAAATACAACTTGTAGAACGTGTGCGTAAATTTAGCTTGAACAGCACAAACCTTTGAAACACTTGAAAATTCAAAATTCAAAATAAAAATCGTAAAAAATCCAAGAATTGAAATTAATGCGTTGTTCGGTGTTTCTTACCGCCAATCTATTTAATCCTATAAATTTATTTTAAATTCGTATTTTAAATTACAAAAATTACCTTCGTGCATTCTAATGAAGATATCAACTATGTATAAAAAATCACAAAAATAGTCAAGCACCAGCCATCCTAGGCAAGAATAATTTAATTAGTTTTTTTTGTCCTTTCCTCTAGTCTTAAAAGTACAGTAAGTGATCGCAAAACTCGTTAAAACTTTCGACCTTTCGTTCAAAATCTTATTTATTTTGCAAACATTTTCAACAACCCATTTTCACAAAATTTTAACCTTATTTTACTCAAGTTGACAACTAAAGGAATTGAGTTTTTGCAGCAAACTCACAAACTCACTCACCCCTATAGCTTCGCAATCGCAACCTGTGGTGCAAAACCTTGATATTTCAAACTTAAACTATTTGATCTAACAGAATTAATAGTTTGAAATATCAAAGGTCTAGGAGAATGGGTTGCTAAGTTATAGGAGTTAGAAAGTCAGAATTTCTTGCAAACACTCATTTCCTTTGCTAATTTTAACATGCCTAACTATAATACAGAGTTACCCTCAAAGGATGAGACTTCAGGGACGATTATTCGGAATATTTAATATGTTTTCGAATATTCATGATTCCCTGCAAGTGTAAACTTGTTAATTTCTTCGCCAATCATTAAGATTAATATATCTAGGGCGGAAGATTAGGAAGTCTTAATCTATCCTTTGAATCGTCATATTTAGGAGTTTTTGGTCGTCTTTTCAAGATGAGACTTAAGACAAAATTCAGAATGTTTTCGTCTTTGTTAAATAGTTAAAGATTGACAGTGAGACTCATTAACCTGATCAAATAGGAAAACAATATCGGATGCTTGGAACCAATTTATCCAAGTAAATATATCACTGTAAAATAATTTTTGACCTAAATTTCAGCAAAAAAATTATTCAGTCATAGAATAGATGTAATTGAATTTAAATAAAATTATCAACCTAATCATGTTATTTAGAGGAAACCCAATCTTCTTGATGCAAAATGGAAAAATCGAACGAAAATTTTGCGATAATGGACAAAATTTTCGCAAAAATTAGGTCGAAAATTTCGTCAAAATACATCGAAATTCGCGAACATTTTGAAAGAAAATGATCGAACGAAACCTTCGATGGAAACCCTTTATTTAATTGCGCCATATCTCTGTTGCCACCTATTGTACTTGATAATCCATTTGATTAATGTGAGACTAAAATCTTATATGTTTCCAATCATAACTTCTCTTTTAGAAGAGTTAATGAGAAGAGCGAACATGTTTTAGATTTCTACTACAGGGTCCCACGAAACATGACAGTAGGTGAATAGTTTTGAATGTCTTCTTCTATATACTAAATTAGATGTTTTGCAGTTTATAAAGTTAAAAAAACCTTTTACTCAAATATATTTTTATTTTGAAATCCATTTTACTATAATATGAATGGCATGAAATATTTTTTATTATTCTCCTTGGTATCAAACTATGCAAGAAGACATTTTGAGCTATTCACCAACTGTCATGTTTCGTGGGACACCCTGTAGGTTACCAGATAATTTAATTTTCTCATAATTGTGCGTAAAACTAGAGAAGCTACGAGGTCACAATGTCATACCTTTAATGTCGATCAAAATAGACTTCCTTTTAGTATACTATGATTTCACAATATGTCATAAAATAGAAGTACAACAAATCGATGTTTAAAGTACAAAGTAAGTCTGCACCTGTGGGGAAAATTCCCTCCAATTCCCAAAATGTGGCTCGGCCCACCACAAACAGTACATTGTACAACACCGCTAGGGTTATCACCCACAACCACTGCAAAACAAGTTTAATTTTATAAATAAAAGTTATCATTTAAAATAATGTTTTTAATTTTTATTTTATGTTAAATTTCTTAATAAAAACAATAACATCATAGCTGATAAATGTCTGATGTAAAACACAAAACCTTTTTTTGTCCCAATTTGATTTAAAAATTATTGTCTTCAATATTTAATATTGTTTAACACATTTCTGACAAAACTGTTCGGTTACCCTGTAATGGCTCGGTTTTCCTGTATCTACAACTAGTTCAACCCATTCCCTTCCACAGCAATTAATCTATAAATAAAAGCATTATTTTTTTTCATATTCATATTGTTCTACAGAAAAAATCTGAAAGTTTCACAATTAACACTGCTACTCCCTTTTTTATCTTTTACCGATCGGGAAAAAATTTGGTGTGACAACTCTTCTACGATTTTAGAAAATCCAAGAATTAAAACAGAAAAATCTGCGAACATTTTTATTTATTATAGTACAATGAAAAAAGGCGATTTAAAGATCGAAATTAAAAGACTAAAATTTTGGCTAAAAAGCACAAGTCTCTTTATTTTTTAAATATACGAGCAAATATAAACTTTATCACTGACAAAAAAGTGAAAATAGAGGAAAAGGGCCAAAGAGAGAGAAGAGGAGGAAAAGATGGGAAAAAGTAAAAAAAAAATAGAGAAAAAACAGAATGAAGGGGGAAAAAGTAGAAATAGTAAAAAAAAATAAGAGGGGAAATGAAAAAATGCTAGTAGGAAGTGGGAAAACTGCCACGGGAAAACCTATGGGGGGCAGGGAAGGGGGGAGAATAATGGAGAATATTTAACCTTGCTATCTGCGTACACGGGATCCTCCTCCTGGACAAAGTTGATTCTTTCAAGGAAATAATCAGGACTCACATCTCCAGCACTTCCGGTCACTTCCTGAATACATACATTACTTCCGGCTACCTTATGAATTTTACATAACATCCGGTTACTTTCTAAATTTTACATTATTCCGTTTTTCATCTGAATATTACATTACTTCCGGTTATCTTCTGAAGTTTACATTACTTCCGATTTTCATATACATTTTACATTACTTCCGGTTACCTTCTAAATTTTACATTACTCCGGGTTACCTTCTGAATTTTACATTACTCCCGGTTACCTTCTGAATTTTACATTACTTCCGGTTACCTTCTGAATTATACATTGCTTCCGGTTACCTTCTAAATTTTACATTACTTCCGGTTTTCATAAACATTTTACATTACTTCCGGTTACCTTCTGAATTTTACATTAATTCCGGTTTTTATCTGAAATTTACATTACTTCCTGTTACCATCTGAATTATACATTACATCCGGTTACCTTCTAAATTTTACATTACTTCCGGATACCATCTAAATTTTACATTACTCCCGGTTACCTTCTGAATTTTACATTACTTCCGGTTTTCATATATATTTTACATTACTTCCGGTTACTCTCTGAATTGTGAATATAAAAAACATTATTGTCTCTTGACTAAAACATAAATCTAGTTTAAATGTTATGAATTTTGATTAAAGAATTACCTTGTCGATGTATTTTTTAATCAGCTTCGCAAACCCAGATGCTCTTCCGCCTGATTAAAGCAGTAACAGTACAAAATTGTTTTACATTGTGGGAGGGAGGGAAGGCGCAATACACATTTTTTTTCGTCCGACCACATATGACGTCACAACTCACAATTTACCATTATTTCTTCTCACCACGCCTTTTTTCGTCGGGCATTGTTTAAATTCCTTTTTAAGTACTTTAAATTATTTTGATTTGAATTTTAAGTTTAAAATATTTTCTCCTGTTTTTTTAAAAGAAGAAAATCTTATGAAGGTACAATTAGGGCTGGGCATTGTTCCAGGAGAATGATCGTTCTTTCACGAGAACGATTGAAACTATCACGAAGATCCCATCAAAAAAACGAACGCATAGAACGCGTTCTTAAAAATATTAGAACGATTAGTAAAAGAGCAGAACGGAACGGAAATTGCTTCAAAAAAACATTAAAATCAGGAATCATAAAGAACGCGTTCTGAGTCAGGAACGCATTTTAAATCAGCACAATTGCTGTGTCTCATGTTCATCGGACTATTAAAAGTCATAACTTAAGTCTAAAAGTCGTCTTTCTAATTTGGAGTTTTATGGTTCTTATTGCAAATGCTCGACATTTTCTATAATGACTTATAGGAACAATTTATAAAAATTATATTTCTGGATGTACCTGATACCAAAAATACATTTAACTTTCGCGTCTGACGTACACGATACACATTTATTATTAACTCTAATTTTTCGGATTGGTTCAGCCGTCTCTGTTAAATTAAAATATTACTGCACAAACCTTGGCTTCCATTTTGAACAAGACCCTCTCTTGATCCCTCCACACCTGCCTCACCACTGATAAAATATCATATTAACGAGAGGTCGTCGTTGTAATTTCGAGTTAAAGACATAGATAAATAAAAAAACATAGATAGCTTATGTACGCAAAATCACCAAGAATTGTACAGTCCGCGAACCCATACTTCTAGGGGTCAAAGTGTACTTCAATGATAAGCGGGGTGGTTTGGTGTTTTAATGGATTTCATAATTATTAAACCACTCAGGAGTGAATTTTATGGAACTATTTGAACAACAATATTTCACTGAGCAATATATCATATTGACGAGAACTGAAGAAGGACATGAGAAGGACTAAACTAGCTTAAATTTCTCTCTGCAGAACTCATGAACACCACAGGTACTCAATGACATAAGAACAGCTAATGTTCACAACCGACCTAGTTAATCTATATAATAGGAATATCTTTCAAGATGAAAAATGTCGTCTTATGCGCAATCTATCTTTATCTATGGTTAAAGACTCCATTTACAATAGATTTACAACGGTACCGTTTAACCTTTATTTAATCAATGTTGTAAAAGTAGTCGTTGTTTTTCTAGATTAACATGGATTAAATTCCACCACAAAAAATGTTTTGCTGATTTATTTAATATGTAATCAATTTTGTTTGCATTTGGATTGCCAAAAGTTTGTGATGAGTTAAACAACGATATTACCGGTTTACTGCTCTCCCCTATGATTTACAGGCATTTTACAGGTCTCAAGCTCTTAAGCTCTCAAGCTCTCAAGTTCTCAAGCAAAAATCGATCAGAAATTTGCCAATTACTTCTTACAAACCAAAGTTAACAACAAATGCTCTGTAATGCTAAAATGTTCATGTAAAGGGCTACAGAAAAGCGCTAGTGCGGTAAAATAAAAGCCTAAGGCGTTGCGACACCCTATCAACCAGGGGACGTCTAAAGGACGTCATGAGGACGTCATCAAATACCAATCCGAGGTCCATTGGAAATCATCTTTAAGGTGTTGTGGACGTTCCAACTTGCAGGGACGTTAAACGCACACTTTTTTACATCCTCACGACCTATCTTTCGATGTCAAAATGACGTCACTTAGGAGGGGGACTGGTCATGTTACGAACAGTCAGGTAATCTGACGTAACCTGACCTAACCCGACCTAAGAGGACAAGTCATGTTCAGACCATTTTGGTAATTCGACGTAATCCCAACCCAACATGTCCTATCTCGACCTAATGGGACTGGTTGCGTGACGTCGCTGGTTGCAAGGTTGCACTGCAAAGTCGACCCTGTCTTAAAATTGATGATACTTTTTATAAGCAGGCTGAATCTATGTCCCTCATGTACTATGAAGACCATCTTGCTAATGTACAGGGTGTCCCACGAAACATCACAGTAGCAAGACGAATTGAAGGTCGTCTTTGATTGTTTGGAAGTAAAATTCTAAAGTTAATAATCATGAAATACTCACAGTCTTGAATCTTGGAACTTCCCAACTGTGGTCTGCATTTTTTGGGCTTTCAAAATCACCGGAGATATAAACATTTTCGTTTAGATTTCGACAATTTTGGCTTCATTTCATAAAATTGAAATCTGAACAAAATTCGTAATATCTCTGGTAATATTGACAGCTCAAAAAAGGCAGACCACATTTTAGAAATGCCAGAACTAAGAGAAGTTTGTGGCTTTTGTAGGTAGATAGAATCGAGGAAAAGATGGATATTTTTGAGCTTACTGTCCCATTGGAAACAAATATTAAAAATGCCAACACTCAAATAATGAACAAGTAAGAACATTTTATCACAGATATAACAACGTGTCTGTTCACCCTTTTTGAAATCGGCTCAAGAGGATATACTTACCATCAAATAAAGCAATTCTAAAGAAACTGCATAAGTTCTGCAAATTTAGTGTTAGTTTCAAAGCAATGTGCGAAAATCTATCAAGCATTGCAGTGTTGTCATCTTACCACATTTTTAGAAAACGAAAAACACTATAGACTGGGACCAAGAAACTCCATTTCTGAAAACCACCTCTGAATAACTAAACTATACTCATGCTAAAAGTCTTGTATTGCACCCGTTTTTTTTGGCAAACCCTGTCAATTATAAAATATGATATCCAGAGAAAAGAGTGTTAGTTTGTAAACTTTTATATTGATTAACGTAATTTTGCTTTAGACAAATATAAATGATAATAAGTCATGTTTCGTAGGATACCCTATATGATGTCCATCTCTTCATGTTTCGTAGGATACCCTGTATGATGTCCATCTCTTTATGTTTCGTAGGATACCCTGTATGATGTCCATCTCTTCATGTTTCGTAGGATACCCTGTATGATGTCCATCTCTTCATGTTTCGTAGGATACCCTGTATGATGTCCATCTCTTCATGAAAACTGATGGGATATGCCAAAAATGGGTATGCAAAAATGTAAATATTTATAAAACCTATATTTTTATGAATATATGCACATTGCACGTTAATGTGTGTCCACATGCACACTCCACAATTGCTTACTAAATCTAAAAAAAGGCGCGCGCAATGAGCTTTTTCTGAAATTCAAGGTATTCATATAAGCGCCGCTAAAGTTTCAAAAACTGCTAAAATATTTTTTTCATAAAATATCATGTTATAAATCAATTTCTTCGTTTTCATAAAGGAGTTTTTGAAGAAATAAATTTAAAAAAGAAGATTTAGACTTTAAAAAAAATTCTTTTTTGATTTTTTTGATCTATTTTCTGAAAATGGTCATCCGTGGACCCTGGACAGTGAACACCTTTATCAGCTTTTCATCAGAGACCGAACATTTTCATTGAAGCCCCAGATTCAGTATCAGTTTAAAGAAGCATTATTTTACAAGCATTCTCTGCGCATATGTATTTTAAATTTGAACTTTTATTTGAATTTATTTTTCTGTAGGAAACTGTGAATGAACAATTTTATAATTTTTTTACAACTCCAAACGGTTTTTTTGAAATTAGGCCTAAACTTGTTCGACGAAAATTAGTTGAAATAATATAATGTTAAATTTTTATCATTACAACTCTGCATATTGAATATTCTGAAGATATATGGAAACATTTGTAAGCACTGTTTAAAGGGACTGTAAGCATAACTTCAAGTGACCTTTTATACAAAGAGAGCAATGCACAATTTGCAACGGTACCCTTTAAACCGTTTGTGCGGTCATCGAGTACAGAGATCTTTGTGTGTAAACCAAAGAAAACCGTTTTATTCTTACAAACTTCGATGTGCGATGATATGTTGCTACTGGAAACTAACTATTGATATATCTTAAATATATAACAGCTTGCAAACAAAGTGTTTAACAATTAAAAGCGTTTGTGTAGATTATGCTTGACATCCTAATCATTAAATGGTTTTAATGGTGCCGTTGTGAATCAAGGAAACCCCTTTGAAATAAAAAGTCAGTCAAACCTATTACAGTCCCTTCAAACTATTTTTCTAAATTTTTGTTACGAATATTACCTAGTACTAGGACCAAGGTTTGGCCCAATCCTAGTATTCTTTAACATTGAGAGAATTCTGCCAAAGGAAGAAACATTTTTATTCTCCTGAACTGTTAACCCGTTAGGAACAACTATTACAGTATCTTGCCTGATAAAATAACAATATTTTAAGATTAAGTTTATCCTGGAAATTGAATCAAATGATGGTCCCGAAATTATCACATGTGACAAATCTGGAACCACATGGTCACATAAGCAGGGTTGTTAATTGTTTTTAAAACGATCAAAAAAACGATTGTTTTTTGTTTCGTTTTTATTTTTTTTTTCTGTAAAAGATTATTTCCTTTTTAAAAAAGACCGTTTTTTAAAGACGATTTAAAAANAAATCATGTATACAGAGCGGTAGTTGATCTTAGTGTGACTAGTTCAATTTTTTCTGACCTGAAATCTCAATTTGGGACGGTAGTATAACAAGTTGTACCTAATTCAACTACATCTGTCTATCATCAATAAACTAAATTCGTCATGCTGGTTTTGAACCATAATATTGTTTGCTGTTTACTATTAAAAGGTTTTCCCACAAAAAAATGTTTTGCCAAAGAAAAAAGGATTTCTAATGTACGAAAAGGAATTAAGTCTTTGCCAAAAACTCTAATTTTCTAATCCCTATGTCTTTCACACTCAACGTCATAGGATCTTATAGATGTTTCAAGCTGTGAAATATGTTATATCAAATAATCAAAGTTTGAAATATCAGACGTTTACACCATCAGATTGCGAAGATATATAAGGATTAAAAATAGAGGTTGTGGCAAAGACTCAATTCCTTTCTTGTTTTAAACTTCTAAAAATTTGAGAATTTGGAAAGAATCTTGAAATTGGGAAATCATTTGTAATATCTGTAACAATTTGTTTTGTGAGAAATAAATAGTTATCACTCAATCAAATATTATTAAAAAAATATTCTCGCGCAGATAAAAAACGATTATCACTGTCCCTTTAATTGCAAATTGTAATAACTTACTCAATTGTTTCGACGCCATCCGAGCTTTGTTCCATTACGACAATCCTTTACTATAACTCTTCTCACCTATTTTTATTTATAAGTAATACATGATATAGTTAAAATATAAACAAATTATGAGTTGGAAATATACCCACATAGCTACAGGGCTAACCCCAAAGGATGAGACTGTAAAGACGACTTAAAATTCTTAAGATATGGCGACTCCAAGGTTTTATTAAGTCTTCCGCCTTGAATGCAGTCTTTTAATGGCTTATTAATGATTTTCCATAGCAAAAACAAGTTTAAAGATGCAGGGAATCGTGAACAAGGAAATGACAGTATAAACTCTGTAAAGTCGTCTCTGAAGTCTCATCCTTTGTGGGTAACTCTGTATTTTAACTAAAAAAGAACTTTTCAGATTAGGCCAACTTAAAAGTGTCATTGATTAGAACTTACCAACACATTTTTTTGAACCCCTGACTATGAATTTATTAAAGCTTGAAAGAATTTGTTCTATGTTTAAAAAGTGCTTGGCAGATTCGTAATATTTAGATTTTTTGTGGCAGCACATCCATATATCCATATAAATATATCCATATAAAGCAACATTTCATAATTTACCGTTTTTAAATGAATTTTCCGAAAGTTTCCCCTCCACAGAGGTCCGAGATCAGGCCACTTTGCTTGCCTTAAGGCAAATCACATTTTTTTTTAATATATCCTTTAAAATTATATAACGTTTGCGAGACGAAGGCAAATGATTTATCTAAATTCAAATTTTTTCATGAAATCTTTTAGACGACTTTTTTTACAAAACGCAACACAAATTTATTACTGCTTAAAAATTCCAAACGTGTGATTTCAACTTTCAAGTAAGCTTGAAATTCTCATCAAATTTGGAATGAGAGCCAAGATTCTATTGACAATGACAAGTTAACGTATATTCCTTTTAAAGCACAATTTTTAGAAAACAAACTTTAAAAGCGGAATGCACGCTTGTCGAACAAAAGAACAAAAATCAAATACATTATTTGGTAATTTTATTGTAGACAATAAAAGAAAAAAAGAAAAAAACATTGTTACTGTTTGAAATCATAAAAAAGTGGAATTTTCAAGAGTACAGCAAAAAAAAAATGAAGCCGAGAACCCCCCCCTCCCCCTCCCCTTTATTTAGATATTTCCACTCAAGTCATGTCTTTCATTTGCAATCTTAAACTGTCAAACTGGTGTTGAAGCACTTTTCCCATATTTCGTCCTTTTTATCTAAGTAATTGACGAATTACTTAAGGTATTGATGTGACACACTGCTTGTTGTTAGGAGTGTCACCCCTCACACACTACCAACAGGTCGATCCGGTACATCCCTAGATAGATAGATAGATAGATAGATAGATAGATAGATTAGAAGATAGGAGAAAATCCAGTATAGAGATACCAGGATTTGTCGAGGACAGCAGAGGATGCACGGCCTCTCGGGAGAATAGTCTCACAGGGGGGAATGGGGGGGGCAATTTGTAGATTTTAAAAAATATTGTTTCATTTTTTTAATCATTAAAGAACAAATTTTGTTTGAAATTATGTTTTAATTTTTAAATTTAAATGTTAGAGTCTGATCCATGTTGTTATTTCTCTCAGCTTATGTATATGTGCAACTATGACAACAAGAAGGAGATGATTTCATGATAAACATTTAATAAACAAGTTTGAAAAATTGGATAAATTAATCGGATTAGACTTAGAGAGAAGGGAAACAAACTGGGAAATGGAAATAATGGAGAACAAACCAAATAAGTAGAAAAGAAAGGTTGAAAGAGAACATATACAGGGTGAGTCAAAAAAAAATTAGATGCGTCTGATGCAAAATTGTACCTTTTTTTGAATAACTCTCCTGTATTGATTTTTTCAATATTTTCAATATACTCAAATCCGCGAAACCTTTTTTCTCTTAAGATCAAAATTTCAGAAAAGCATGAATGTTTTTTGTGTAAAAATATTATTTCTATCAAATTCTAGAATTTGATCAAGATTAAATCACAGAATCACAGCAAATTTGCAAAATTGTAATAAAAAAATTCACAATTTTAAGTTCTGTTCTAATTTTTAAGGAAAAGTTCTGTTTACCCGGCCACTAGTTTATTTTCTTCTTCGTGTTTTAAAGTTATAAACATACGCTGTTCAGTTAAAAACGGAGGAGCCATTGAAAAACAACTTTTCCTTAAAAATTTGACCAGAACTGAAAATTGTAAATTTTTATACAAAATTTTGGGAAATTTCTGTGATTCTGTGATTCAATATTTAAAAATTTAAAAAATTTGATAGAAATAAAATATATAGAAATTTTTGCTTTTCTGAACTTTAGATGTTGAGAAAGAAAAAAGGTTTTTTTTCGGATTTTTTTGGGGCTATTGGAGTACCAAAAAAAAAGGTTCCATAAAATACTGAAAAAATAATATACAGGAGAGTTTCACAAATAAAAGTACAATTTTGCACCAGACGCCTCTAATCACATTTTTGTATTCACCCTCTATATATGTTTGATGATTTCAGAGTTGAGGAAATGAAAAGTTGGGATTTTTTATATCTTCACAAATATTTAAAATATATATTTCCATTTAAGCCTGCACGCAGTTCACAAAATCCAGGCAGGAAAGCTTTGGCAGTTTGCTCTAATCCCCTCTTACCCTGAGATTTTATCCTTTTTTATGGACCCTCTTTTTTTTACATTCCTTATTCCCTGCAGTGTAAAACTTGAATTTTCAAGTAATTTGTCCTTTGTTGGGAACCCTGTATTCTATTTTTCAACAATCAAAGAATACAGAAGACGACTTCTAAAATGATTTTGGCGAACTTTTTATTACTAAAAATTGTTTATATATTTGATTTTGAGGTTTTAAACAAGGATTTACCCAAAGTACGACTACGTCGATTTATAAAGCATAAATGTTTTAAAATACAGGGTGTCCCATGAAACATAAAAGTAGGTGAATAGTTTAAAATGTCTTCTTCCAAAATTTGATCAGTGGTTTGATACCAAACAAAACAATAAAATTTTATATGGCATGCATATCATATTAAAATCAATTTCAAAGTAAAATATATTTGAGTAAAAGATTTTTTAAAACAAAATAAACTGCAACATGTCTTTGATATCTAATACAGTACATTGGAAGAAGACATTCAATGCTATTTACAATCAGTCATGTTTCGTGGGACACCCTGTATATTCCGATATCGTAAATAATAAAGTTCTCATATAAGAATTGTTTTTCAAAATTAATTCCCGTCTAAAATTTTTGATAGGATAAATTCTAGGCAGAAACAAAATTAAACTCTTAGATCGTTATATTCAAAGAATATTGAAGGTCGTCATTAAAAGTTTCATCCTTTGTGGGTAACACTATAGTTCACATACAGCAAATTGATTCATTCAAATTTTTATAAATTTTTCTAAAAACCATTTATTCACACTTTTGTAAAGATGATAAAATAAAAAATTTAAAAATTAATACGCGAAAATTTTGTTTGTTTTTATTTTACAATGTATAGATAATAGATTAAAAGAGAAAATGTTGACAATTGAAAAAAAAGATGAGCGCGAAGCTCCCTAAAAGCCTAGTATATATATGTCTGTATATATATGTCTGTATATATATATGTCTGTATATATATGTCTGTATATGCTGATTTCATATTTAAATAAATATAGAAAATTGTTGAATAGGAAGACGACATTATAGCATTTGATGTTCTTCTAGTAAGTTATTAAATCATTTAATAAGTAAAGTGGGTCTGTTTACTCTGCTTAATTGTAATTGCTGTGTCTCATGCTCATTGGACTACTTAAAGTCATAACTTGAGTTTTAAATTCGTCTTCCTTTTTCCAGAGTTTTCTGGTTATCACTGTATTTATATATCATGTAGGTGTTTATGTATGTATGTGTATTTACGCATACAAGACCTAGATAACGGGGGTTTGGCGCATTCTTATAAATACTTCAATATTGATAGTTAAGATTTGTGTTTGAATGTAAAAACTAAGTAAGTGAGTAAGTAAGTAAGTAAACGAGTGATTTATAAATGATGTAACGACTATATAGCCTTGTAATCGAGTGAAAAAAGAGGGGTATTAGTAATTTTGAAATTAGATTGAGACAAAAAAGATTGGGATATATATAGATAAAGTTGTGTCCGGATTGACATTGAAAGTAAAGTTTTGATACAGATAAAGTGGTGTCCGAATTGACATTGATAGTAAAGCATTGATACAGATAAAGTTGTGTCCGAATTGACATTGATAGTAAATCATTGGTACAGATAAAGTGGAGTTTGGATTGACATTGATAGTAAATCATTGGTACAGATAAAGTGGAGTCTGGATTGACATTGATAGTAAAGTACTGGTACAGATAAAGTGGTGTCTGGATTGACATTGATAGTAACGTTTCGGCACAGATAAAGTTGTGTCCGAATTCACAATGATAGTAAAGTACTGGTACAGATAAAGTTGTGTCAGAATTGACATTGATAGTAAAGTATTGGTACAGATAAGATTGAGTCCGAATTCACAATGATAGTAAAGTATTGGTACAGATAAAGTTGTGTCCGAATTGACATTGATAGTAAAGTACTGGTGCAGATAAAGTTATGTCCGAATTGACATTGATAGTAAAGTACTGGTACAGATAGAGTTGTGTCAGAATTGGCATTGATAGTAAAGTACTGGTACAGATAAAGTTGTGTCAGAATTGACATTGATAGTAAAGTATTGGTACAGATAAGATTGAGTCCGAATTGACATTGATAGTAAAGTATTGGTACAGATAAAGTTGTGTCCTAATTGACATTGATAGTAAAGTACTGGTGCAGATAAAGTTATGTCCGAATTGACATTGATAGTAAAGTACTGGTACAGATAGAGTTGTGTCAGAATTGGCATTGATAGTAAAGTACTGGTACAGATAAAGTTGTGTCCAAATTGACATTGATAGTAAAGTATTGGTACAGGTAAAGATGTGTCCGAATTGACATTGATAGTAAAGTATTGGTACAGATAAAGTTGTGTCCGAATTGACATTGATAGTAAAGTACTTGTACAGATAAGGTTGTGTCCGAATTGACATTGATTGTAAAGTATTGGTACAGATAAAGTTATGTCCGAATTGACATTGATAGTAAAGTATTGGTACAGATAAAGTGGTGTCTGGATTGACGTTGATACTAAACTATTGTTGAACTGACTAGTTCTTATGCCTCGCCGATCATAGCGAGAGGGATTGTGTATTGAGTTGTGTCTGGATTGATATTGATACTAAAGTATTATTGAACTGATAAGGTAGACCAACGAGACGAATAGGGTTGTACCTGGATTGATACGGTTCGAAAAGGATTTATTGGAGTAGGGCATTTAATACAGAGTAAAAGTTAGCGAGTGAGCTTATAAGTGTAGAAGTTTCAAGTAGATTTAGTGAACGTGTAATTAAGAGAGTCCCTTCAGTGATCTGTGATTGATTAGGTGAGTAAGTGAGTAAGTTAGTATATAGTGTGTATACTGATTGATAGAGTGAGTAAGTAAGTAAGTTAGTATAGAGTGTGTATACTGATTGATAGAGTGAGTAAGTAAGTAAGTTAGTATAGAGTGTGTATACTGATTGATAGAGTGAGTAAGTTAGTATAGAGTGTGTATTACTGATAGATAGAGGGAGTAAGTGAGTCAGTTAGTATAGAGTGGGTATGCTGATTGATAGAGTGAGTAAGTGATTAAGTTAGTATAGAGTGTGTATTACTGATAAATAGAGTGAGTAAGTGAGTAAGTTAGTATAGAGTGTGTATGCTGATTGATAGAGTGAGTAAGTGAGTAAGTTAGTATAGAGTGGGTATGCTG